ATGTTCTGTTAGTAATTTGATCACACAGATTTGTTAGAGTTTTTCATAATTTACAGTTTACACTAGTTTAGAAACTTGAATGCCCTTCATAGAGTGCAAATTTTTTCTGAGCCCTGCACATATTCAGAGGTTTCCCCTTTATCAGACTAGTAGCGTAATTTCAAGATTTTAACACAGTAGTAGTAAGACTGAAAACAAATTTTCTGTAATTGAATCAATGGATACATGCCTAGTCTAGAAGTTACGTTTATTGTTGACTATACGTGTATTTGTTATTGTTTCTTTAACTTTTTTCCTAGAACTCCAGATTTTCTGGGCCTTTGGTTTATGACGAGTAAAGTCACTTGGAAGCTATCTGGATCTTACCCTAGCAAGGTCATTTACATTTGTAAAAGTCTCTAAAGCCAGTCTTAAATAGTACATTCTTGAGATGATGGAGCAGACTAGAAGGAGATAAAGGTTCGGGAAAAGGAAGATGTTTAAAACACTAGGTGCCTTGAAAAGTGGTGCATTTACCAAGAGAATCAGTTATTTTTGTTTTGATATATAAAACTGCACTTTCTTCTACTGTTTATCAGACTTAAATTCCATATTTTCTATTTAAAGGTGGCAATCTAAATTTCTTTGTCATTTAAATTGTGCCAAGGGAATTCTACTTGCATTGTTTTAAATGTTAAATATAAGTATTTCTATTATAAGGAGAACTTGCAAACTGGAATGTTTTTTATTGCTTGGTCACTTTTTTTAAGGAAGAGATTTGTTTGATCATATGCACTGTATACAGACTCAACTGTGGTTTTATGCTTGGTATCAAACCCTGAAATGCCTTTATAGTGACTCCTTGGACATCCCCACATCTTTATGACTTGCCTGATGTTTATTGAAATAGTGGCCCATCTATCTTTCAGTCTTCAGCATTTCATGTATAGTTAGTCTTGGCAAGTTTGTGGCAAAAAAGTCTGATTGTTGGTTTTAGATTTCATGCCTCATTGAAGCCTTTAGTTATTTGAGCCAAAAAGTGGTGATAGCTTCTTATGTGTAATACAACTTGTGACTGTTATACATTTCTTTTTTTTTTTTTTTTTGGTGAGGAAATTGACTCTGAGCTAACATCTGTTGCCAATCTTCTTCTTTTTTTGCTTGAGGAAGGTTAGCCCTGAGCTAGCAACTGTGCCAGTCTTCCTGTTTTTTAATGTGGGTCGCCACCTCAGCATGGATTGACGAGTGGTGTATGTCTGAACCCCGCAACCTGGGCTTCCAAAGAAGAGTACTGGATTCAACCACTACACCACGGGGCCGGCCCCATATACAATTCTATTTTTGAATCAGAAAACTAACAAAGCAAAGATCCAACTTAATAATAGTAGGGAGGGTTTTTCCAACAGAAAAAATGTTTACTTTGGTTTCTTAGTCAATTCCGATATGGATAATCTCCTTCTTACTGGGTTGAATATTGCTTTTGTTATTTTCACTTGAAGACCTTTGCTTTCACAAAAACTATAGCATAAGTAGCATGTATGTGCTAATTTGCTAAATTTTTATGTAACACTAACATTGACTTATAAGGACGATTTTTCAGTTCTCTTTCTATTTTAAAGTTACTTTAAAATTTTTAAACATTTGTTTTTTCTGAGTATATAAGAAATACATTCATTACTTTAAAAAAAGAATGTATTATAAAAAGATATAAAATTAGGGAATTGTAAAATAGACTTGTTCTGTCATCAATAATCTATTAAAAAATGTTATTCTAATTGTTAGTGAACGTATTCTACTTTTTCTTCAGATCTGTAAGTTTTATATACTGAGAACATTTCAGGAAAATCACACATTAATTATTGGAGCATAAATTGTTAATTTCTTTGTCAAAAAAATCTTAAGATTTTATTTTCTGAAAACAAAGTTTGTCTTAAAATTTCAGTTTTTTAGGGAAACCGTGCAGTGACTTGCTAGTTTAAGATTATTAAAACAACATGGGTAGGAAGAAATATTACTGTTTCAGAAGATCATACGGGATTTTTCAGAAGCATAATAATTAGAAATGCACTTGAAAATACATGTTTCTGGAAGGGAATATTAACCTAGTTCGGTGGCATTTCCCATGAACATTTTTGAAGTTAACAAGGTAGGAACATATGAAATATGTATAATTATATATCCTAAAACTATTAATATTACACATAACTTCATGTTGTTCATGATAGATATTTGGACCTACAAGCGGAAAAACATGGCATAATGATGAAATAGAGCATTAAATAATTACAGATATATTTAGGAACGTAAGATGAAAAAGTTCAGCATTTATTTTGGCCTACTAGTTCAGCACTTGAGCTGTGGAATCAGAGTACTTGTGTTTGCAGCCTGATGTTTCCATGTTCCAGCTATCCGATTCTGATTTTGGCAAGTTATGATTGACTAATAGAAATGAAGTTAGTAAGAGTACCTACTTTGTAGATTTGTGCTGAATAAATATCAGCTGCCACCACCATTGTTATTGTTACTCTTATTATTCTAGTACTAAGAGACATAACTTATATGTGATAACTTTACAGAATAATTTATCCAATACTTATGTTATTACAAGACTAGATATCTTCACAGATGTTGAGTGTTTTCGTAATTATCATATTTTTCTGATTAAAAAAATAATACATATTCACTTTTTCTATGACATACTTTTCCCCCCACTGAACAATATTTTATGACTATTTTTCCTAGTAATTATAGTTCTATCAAATCTTTTTAAAAAGTACATACTGCTTTATAATATAGTGATAAGACAACTTTTTGTTTGTTTACAATTTCTCTGTTGATATGCATTTATGGCAGCATTTTTGGTTGTTATGAGAGCACTGCTCTACCCCTTTGTGTCCTTGCCTTTATATTTTTACATATTTGTAGTTTTTCTTTAGACTAGATGTCTACATTGTTTTGCTGGATTATAAGATGTATACATTTAAACTACAAATTGATACACTCAGCAAAATTTCCTTCTAAAAATACTGGATTCTTTTCAATCACTGCTCATTTTCCAAAACCATTACTAAATGCTTGGTGCTATCAATCTTTTAGTATTTTGCCATTTGGTAAATAAAAGTTGTTTTTACTATGCTAATTTGCCTCTTAAATATGAAGGAGTCAAGTAGCTTTTTATATATTTGCTTATTTACAGTTTGAATTATATGTTCATTCCCTTTACCCAAGTTTGTCTTTTATTGATTTTTTTTAGAAGCTCTTTTTTTGCATGTTTTATCTTCTCTGTGTGGCAAACATTTTCTTGTGGACTATTTGTTTTTAACCTTTGTTTATGGCATATTTTCTTATGTAGAAGTTTATGTCTTTATTTAGATCTGTCAGATGTTTCCTTGACAGTTTATGAATTCATATTATCTTTTAACAGTCTTCCTAATTCCGAGATTATAAATTAGTCCCCTAGACTTTCTTTTGATGTTTTAAATTTTTTTTTTTTAAGGTATGCTGTTTTTTGGTGAGCAAGTTTGGCCCTGAGCTAACATCTGTTGCCAATCTTCCTCTTTTTTTTTCTCTATCCCCAAAGCCCCCATACATAGTTGTATATCCTAGTTGTATGTCCTTCTGGTTCTTCTATGTGGGATGCCTCCACTGCATGGCTTGATGAGCTGTGTGTAGATCTGCACCCAGGATCCAAACTGGCGAACCCTGGGCAGCTGAAGCAGAGTGTGTGAACTTAACCACTACACCACCGGGCTAGCCCCTAATCTCCAAGACTTTCTTTTAATAATCTTGTAATTTTATACATTTAAATTTTTCATCTCTCTGGAGTCTATTTTTAAGTCTGTTGTGAGAGAATGATTAAACTTTATTTTTTTCTGAATACGTAGCCAGACTTCTAATAGCCTCTTATTGAAAAACTCCAGAATTATTACTATGATTTATATCATTATCATTATTGCACACTTACAATTGCCAGCACAATATTAAGTGCTTTGTGCACATTATCCCTTTTAATTTTTATAACTACCTTCTGAAGTTGGTGCTATTACTATTACTTTATCCATTTTACAGATGGAGAAATCACAGCACGTAGAGCTTAGTAACTTGCCAAAGATCATGCAGCTAGAAAGTGGTAGGGTCAGGAGTCAGAATTTGGATGTAAGTAGCCTAGTTCCAGAACCTGTACGCAATCACTAACTGTATTGTGCCATTTAAAGTTCTGTGGGTTCCTTGTGCCTCACACTGTGGCAACATTCCAAAACAGTGGTCCTGTGCATGCCGCCATCTTTAAGCTTCATCTTCGACTCTGCCTCTGCTCTCCCTTGCTCTCACATCTTCTTGCTTGTATTGTAGCCTGACCAGCCGGATGGGGAACATTCCTGTCCTCTGTTTTTTGTGCTCTTCATTTCTTCAGCAGATTGTCGGGTAATAATTCTGAATCTGATAGGCAGTTTGGCAGAATATGACCGATGTGCCACAGAATCCAGAACAGAAATTTCTATTCTTACCAACCACAAGAAGAGGAACAATATGTGAATTTGAACACAAATTGGGTTGCTTTTTGTGCTTTTCTCTAATATTAGTTGAATAATTACCACATACCAAACTCAAATATTGCATTAAGATATTAAAATAATTAAAATCTTATAGATACTAATGTTACTTTTAAGAATGAATTTCTAAATACTATTCCTTAAAATATTGAACCCTTCATAAGGAGTGATTGATAGGAAGTTTTTTCCAGTTCTCTGAAACTTCTTGCCTTTTAAAAACTAATGTGTATTGTTTTAATCTCTTCAAATATGTCCTACCTCTCCACAAGTTCTAGTGCTAAAAAATGTGCCATGAATACAACAACAGCAAAAGCCATGGCAAAGTTTGAAACAGAAAAGTGATTTGAATATTAGTTTATTGTAACCCTAAGGAGTCAATTCAGTCCATTTTTCAGAAAAAGTCCAATTTCATTCTCTGTACCTTCAGATTCAGGCCTTGTCTTACCTGACTTCCTTTTTTTGGTGTCTCAGTCTTCAGGAACCAGTATTACTGTGGATATTGCTGTGATGGGCGAGGCTCACGGCCTCATTACCGACCTCCTGGCAGACCCTTCTCTGCCCCCCAATGTGTGCACGTCCTTGAGGGCAGTGAGCAACCTGCTCAGCACCCAGCTCACCTTCCAGGCTATTCACAAGCCCAGGGTGAATCCTGTCATTTCCTTCAGTGAAAACTACACCTGTTCAGATTCTGAAGAAAGCTCTGAAAAAGACAAGCTGGCAATTCCCAAGGTAGGTATTAATGACATACTCCTGAAAAGGTTAAACTTTTTCTTTTAATTATCTTCTAGGTCTCTTTCTTGTCACCCCATACCCGTATGCAGATTCATATCCGTGACTCTGCAAAGATGTGTTGATCATGGAGACCAAAGTAATAAAAATTTAAATGTAAAGACTTCTGTCCTTGTACTAGATCACTTTCTTTAAATAAAAAAATTTACCTTTTTACATTACATTTTTTATTCAGACTTTCGAGAAGTTTTTACTTCTGTGTACCAAGCCCTGTTCTATAGGATAAGGATATAGCAGCAAAAAGAAAAAAAAGAAACAGGGCTGGCCCTGTGGCATAGTGGTTAAGTCCAGCACACTCTGCTCTGGTGGCTAGAGTTCACAGGTTCATATCCTGGACACAGATCCACACCACTCATCTAGCCATGCTGTCGTGGCGACCCACATACAAAACAGAGGAAGATTGGCACAAATGTTAGCGCAAAGCAAATCTTCCTCACCAGAGGGGAAAAAAAAGGCAAAAATCCCTGCTCCCATTCTTGTGTGGAGTCTGTTTAAAATCCATTATTGCCTTCTGAAATACAAGTTTCCTTCACTCTTTGATTTCTTAGTAGGATATTCTTCATAGTACCCTCATGTCTTTCCCAAATCCAACAAGTTTTGAACTCAGAGTAGTTTTAGTTGATTTTGGATTATTTAAAGTAAAATGTGGCCTTCATGATTTGTATAACTCCTTCTTTTTACATAAAATATATAAGAGTTTTACAAAAGTAAGATGTAGAAGATAGAATCCTGCACCCAATTTAGACCTCAATATTAGTTGAAGACAAGTCGTATTAAAGACTAAAAAAAAAAAGAAAAGAAATCAGAATTTAAGTGGTCTCTGGTACTACCAACACAATTATCTGTTTAGCAGACAAGAAGCCATCCTCTTGAGCTTGTGGCCAGTCAATGACGTCTTTGCTCTTGCTATTGTGAGTCTCTTGACTCAGGAATGTGTTCTTCACACAACTTCACAACTTTGTCAGTTAGGTGTTTACATAGCTACCTTCAAAGATCTACGTCTCTGAGACCCTGAGAAGGTTATGGCTAAACATGATATGACAGTAAAGGAATGGAGAGAGATTAACTGATTCCTTTGGGTCTCAAAATAGCCATGACGTCAGTGACAGATCTATAGACAATAGTTCTCGTATTTACAGTGCTTGGCCCTTTCTCTTCCTTTTGAATAACCTCTACAATGCATATTCATATCTTTAAGAGATTTTGGAAACTACTTAGCGTCAGAGCTATTCTTGAATCCCAAGGTGCCATATACTTCACTTCTCAAAAGTTTTTACCATCTTCGGAAGAGCAGATCACGTCTTTGTAAACTACACAACTGGTCTGCTAGGATTAACTAGCCACAAATAAAAATGAGTTGAGCCGCTACCTATTAGAACTATTGCTGGAGTTGTATTAGAATACCTTCACTTTACTTTTTAAGGTTAAGACCCCCTTTGAGTGCTGGTGCTCATCCTGGTGAGCCTAGCATCTCGCCTCAGTGCTGATGATGCTACGTAGCCCACTTAGGATGTAGCAGGAGAAGAAACAGGTCACCCAGCAGAGTCTTCTATTAAGAGGAGTTGATAGCGATGACATTACTCATATGCCTTATGTCTAAGCCACGTTAACCACAAGAGAGGTGGTGCATTTTGTGAGTTATACTCTTACACTTAGCTCCTGTCATTTGTAGATCAAGAAATTAAAATGAAATCAGTAAGTCCTTTGCCATAGAGAGTATTATGCAAGATGATATAAAGTAGTCTCTGCCCCAAACAAGTGACTTTTGAGGGAAAACTTCTGCTCATAATAACCAGTAAAATACCTGTGTATAGGTGTGTAAATCCTACTGAACTAATAGAACTATAAAATTATTCCAAAGGTAATTGACTCTCATTCCCATAATCTCATATTTATGTAATCATTGAAATGAAGAACCCAAAATGTTATTTTTGTAATACTCATTCATTTTGGCCAGAGAGCCTTTTATTGAATTTCTGAGCACCCAAATTTTAAATAGGTAATATTCAATGAACATAGTTTAATAAAATCTCTTTCAATTAAAAACCCATTTTCTTCCATGATAGTAGATAGAAGTTAGTGATAGAAAATATGCTTGATAATAAAATCAACACTCCTTCTTCCTAGCGCCTGAGAAGGAGTTTGCCCCCGGGTTTGTTGAGACGAGTTTCATCGACTTGGACAACTACCACCTCAGCCACAGGTCTACCCACTTTGGAGCCTGCCCCAGTACGGAGGGACCGTAGCGCCAGCATGAAACTACATGAAGCGCCTTCATCCAGGTCAGGCAACGCTCCTGTTGGTTTCACATCTCTTGGAGAAGTTACTTATCAAAAAGGAATTAGAAGTGACGGAGGAAGGGAGGCCCAACCAATTCCAGTTGGTTGGAGGCCAGCTTTGAAAATGAAAAAGGTATACAGTGTAAATGCAGAGCAGTATACGGATTAACATCAGATAATTAGGCTTAAGGTGTGTTATGTGGCCTTAAATGTAAATGAGGACGGTGACTTGAGGTGTGATGCCTGCCAGTATTTCTTTGGATGGGAGGAATTGAGCCTGGAATACAGATAGGCTAAATTTTACCTAGACTGAGATCCTTATTGAAATCCTTAAAGGTGTCCAACCAGACATTTGCAAATGACTGTTAGGTCCCCCAACCCACCAAACCAGCTATCCTAGCATTATATGAAAGGCAGAAGATCAGATCAAAATGTAGATCATCGTCCTAAGATATGAACCTAGATATGTTCAGACATTTGGTAATTTAAACTTTATTTAGACAGAGAACAGATTGGTGCTTGCCAGAGGCAGGGGGTGGGAGGGTGGGCAAAAATCGTGCAGGGGGTCAAAAGGTACAAACTTCCCGTTATAAAATATGTAAGTCATGGGGATGTAATGTGCAGCATGGTGACTATAGTTAATAATATTATATTGCATATTTGGAAATTGCTAAGGTAGTAGATCTTAAAAGTCCTCATCCTAAGAAAGAAAAGTGTTTTATAACTATGTGTAGTGATGGATGTTAACTAGACTTATTGTCAATTATACCTCAATAAGAAATAAATAGAATAAACTTTATTTAAGTATATTAATTCCAGTTTCACAAAGTCACTTACCAAAAGCCAGAATTACCAAAGCTGAAGGAAAGATAATATTAAGATCTAGAAAGAATTTTGAAGAAAATATCACCATGAAAGAGGTGCTTTTTGTGGGGGCTATTGTATTTGTCCTTTTCTATTTAGAATAAAAATGGCATACTCTATATGAATTAAATAATTATGAGAACATTTACCATATGATTTCAGCGTTTTGAAACATTTGCATCAGTTTTATTAGTGACCTAATGACTGAAAAATAACCACATCTTTGTTGAACTACATCATGACAAAAGTAGAAGTTATTTTCTCTTGATCTTGGCCTTGAATATAAATAAAGTACAATTCTGAGATTGACATAGAAATGGAAACCTTTCAAATCATAAGAATTTTTTGCTGACTTTTCTTAGAAAATATGATTAAAAATATGTTTAATTGGTTTCTTCCATATTAACATTGGTAGTCTGCTGAACCTATATGAAGTAAACCTAATGATTCTTTCTTTCACCTATCAGTGTAATTCCACTCTATTGTATTACCTGAACTTTTCTAAGACTTCTAAATGCCACCATAGGAGGATGCCAACCAATCTGTTTTGTGAAAATTTCCTAAAATTTGAAATTACAAGTGATTGGTGATATTTTCCTCTGAAAATATTGACCATTATCTATTTCTACAGCAGCAAATACTGATAAGTGGTAGTGAATTATAGTTAAATATTTGTTGCTTAAGAAAATGAATTATGTTCTCTGTATACCTTTAGAGAGGCTGTCTATATTACCAACACACCTTGCCAAGGTTGTGTCATAGTATAGTTAATGTTCCTGTGATTTTCTTTCCATAGAATGACTGCCAAAAATCTATTGATGCATTCTTAAGTATCATCTTTCTTTTTGTTATTGTTTGTTACTTCTGGCCAAATTTCCTTTCTCCTACTCCTCTCTTCTCTTAATTAAATGAGATTGAGAGCTGAAACTAAAATCATCTTGAGAAAGAGGGTTTCAGAAACTTTTTTGAGCTTAATTTCTGTAGATCATGTCATTCTGCTTTGTGAAATAAATACTCATACTCAAATATTTTTAAAATAGATAAGGAATAGATATGATGCCACTCTTTCTCTTTGTCCTAAAAATACTCATAGATGTCTTGCCTGGGTGTACTTTTTTTCACTGACTTACTATTCCTCAATTTCACTGTCCTATTAAAAGGATATAAAATCTGAAAGTGATACAACTTTTTCACCATTACGAAGAAATGAAATTTATTCTGAAGAGAAGTTGAGCCCTTTAAGGGAAAATCGTATGTAAGTGGCAATAGTACCAACATTAAATACAGCTAGTTTGGGTTGACTCATTCTTTGTCGTGGGTGAAAATAGTGAAAAGATAACCAGAGGTCATCTCCAGCCCTGATTATAAACCAAAGTTAAAGCTTTCTTCACTTAGGTGACCTATTGTCAAAACTGCTGATTGATTTCAAAACTGATTTGAGTTTTAGCCCTTGTAGTTTCTTCCCTCGTGGCCCTTTTATTTCTTCCTTTCCACGTCTGTCCTTTTATTGAGGTTCTTTGAGGACTACAGTGATCAAAAGAAGGACCAGAGTGGGAAGTGAAAATTAGAGACAGTTCTCAGCTTATATCCCGGGAGGTATCCAGCTGGATGACTTACCCCTGGGGAGTTTTAAATACAGCCAAGGAGAAAGGAGACTGGCTGAGAATCGGAAGGGTCTTGGCCCTACCACTCAGAGATGCGTGTCCTGAGAAGCAGGCCCTTAGTCAGAGCCTTTGTGCCTCCTACAAGGAATCCGTAGGAAAAGGGGAACCAGGGCACAATTGGGAAGTAAATTAGGTGGAAGAATACCGCTAGGTAGTTTTAAAAAAAAAAGCTTTCAAGAAATAAAAAAGTCTGAAATAAATCCTACCCTGACCATACCAAGTCGACCTAGGAACTGACCCCCGCCTCTGCCTATTAGACACAAAGGAGGCTGGAAACTCAGTAAAAGAAACCTGGTTAGGACCTGGTAAGACGTTTAGGGCCTAGGATGAAGTTTGTTGTGGGTAGACTGAGGTTATAAAACCCACTTTTGTGGAGGAGAGTTGAGATCTTCCACAGCAGACACATAGACAGTTTCCCCTGCTGTGTCAGCATGAGGAGACCAAGCAAAGGTTTCCCCAACCTATTTTCCTCTCCAAAATCCAAATTATTACATATTCCTGAGATCTAAACAGGAACCGAGAAGGTGAGAGTCAATACAAAGCTGAAAATTATTGCAAGGATCACATAAAGCAATCTATTTGAAAGTGCCCATAAATTATAAGGCATATGTATACATAAATCTATTGATTTATTATTTTATTAATAATATATATTTTAATAAATTAATATTTATTAAGAATGGGATATATGGCTAGAATTTTATTTATCTTGAAGTTCATTAATTCCCCATACATTAAAGTTACTGTGTTATTGAGCTTTATAAAACTTTTCAAAACGAGCATATTTTAAGTGCTTTTATTAAAAAAAAAAACAAAATAGTAGTAGGCAATTTCTGAGCTAGCTTTCATAATAGAACTTTTTGAAAAATTAAAAAGCAAAGGTTTTATCTTTTAAAAGTCTACATAAAAAGATAATAACCTATTCATTGTAAAATGTACTGAGAAATTAAAACTCCTCAGCCAAATATACATTACATAAAAGTTCTTCACAGTAAATCTTGTAAGTCAATCAGTCCAGCAAAAGAAGTTGAATGGAAATAGCGCTATAAGGAAATAGTGTTGTTATCTAGCTCAAATTCAAAGTTTTATTTGATTTTGTTGTTTCAAAATCCTAGGCATTTGTAGAATGCCTAGAATGAGATTTCTAAGAAGGAAACAAAAATTCATTCTAAGAATGAAGCAAATATTATTTTGTCTGCTTTCCTTAGTTATATTTGATAATTGCTAGAGTTCATTCCATATTTCAAATCTCTTTTATGATATAGATATATATTTTGCAAACTGCTATTAGAAGTAAGTAGAAAAGATAAAGTTTTAAAATACCTGGGTCAACAATTGAAGAAAATTCTGAAAATGAAAAAGAAGAAATAAGTGTCAGAGTGAAATAGGAGTCAACATAAATTATAGATCTTAGTCATTGCTAAATTTACTAATAATCAAAAGATACAATAGCAAAGCACACGTTCAGCATTATTCCCTTCAAAAGGTCTGACACTGTTACTGCAGCTCCTAAAAGTCCTTTTATTCCACATTAGCACATGTTTTGGTTTGGATTTAAAATGCAGGATTCTGAGCAAGGCACGCATGACGTTGCTTGCACAGAGAAAGCCATTTTGGTTATGGAACACCTCCAAATTATACCTCATTAATTATACAGCTTAAATGACAGTCTCCACCCATTCACGACCCCATAATTCCATCAATTTCAGGTTTATTTACAATAAGCCACTCAGACATACCAGGTACGTCCTGCTTCCAGTGCAATCTAAGATTGGCAGAGGGTCAAATTATACTCATGCAAATTATAGATTTTACCCAGCACCAAATTTACTAATGCTTGAAGTACACAGGTGTTAGTAAAACACAGACTTTTCCCTTAGAGCAGTCCAAGATTGTCAACTCAGCTTCCTAAATCCTTTTCTCTCAAATTACGCTGGATTCTGTTTCAGATTTAACATGTAAGGTTTTGAGCAATGCTTCCAGATAACTTTTGGTTTGGAACACCTCCAAAATTTATATCCCATTAATTACATGGCTGTGTAACATTCTCCATCCCAACTTTCCACAGATCTATTAATTCCAGATTTATTTACAATAGTAACCTCGACAGACCAAGGATATTCTGCTAAGAGCCTTCCCTACGTGAAGACTCACTGTCCATTACCCTTCTCCTAGTCAATAGCATCAGTGTGTTTAGCAGCCGGTCCATCATTACCATATTTACAAGGGGATTTGGCTCATCACCCCTTTCTTTCTACAGTGTCACCAGTAAAATAAATTGTAGGCTAAAAGCCAGTTGCTAACCTTTTCCTTCAGAGGGAAATACTACAAAGAATATTATCTTGAAGGATTTTATAAGCACTTCGTTTTTTAATTTAGATACACCAAGAATAATAAATAATAAAGAGCATAGAAGGAAGGATCATGCCATGCATAACTAATGTAAGTTCACCTGCGTCTTAATCAGTTAATTTGCCAAGTTTTTAGAAAATCCGTGAGGAACATGATTAAAGAAGTCAAATGAGAAAGCTTTTGGTTCCTGTGAACTGGATAAATAGGAAAGTTCTCTTTCCTCTTTCGTTAACCTGGTATGCTTGACGCATGACTGCTGTCTCCCTCCAGCAGAGATTGAAGTTAGATACCCCGTTGTGTCATTTTGTCCTATTTTGTCAAGTGGGTTCTGTCACTGAACCTGGACTGTGACTCAGATGCCAAATCTATTACGGAAATGATGGTTGGGTTCTGCAAGATGTGCCGCAATAACTGGTGAATAATGTTTTCACTTTTCCTTATGCTCTGCCTTTATAGCGCTGTTAGTCCTGATTCTTGGAATAACCCAGTGATGATGACCCTCACCAAAAGCAGATCCTTCACTTCGTCCTACGCTGTTTCTGCAGCTAACCACGTAAAGGCTAGAAAGCCCAATCGACCAGGTCAGTAACCCACTGGGAGAAGAGCTCATGCTCACCGAGTGTGCAGTCATGGAGTGAACTAAGCCTTCAGTCTTGAGATAAGATTCTGAGAATGCCCTACACTCAGATGTGTTTGGCATGACTGTTCTGAATAGAAAAGGCCTCAATAACCAGTTAGTTACTGAAATTTCCACTTTATGTGATGATATAGATTCTTGTAAGTTTGCTGTACCAAACATCCTATCTTGAACTTATTGAACGAATAGGAAATCAGTGTCATCGTTGAGGATAACCTTTGAACGCAGCATCTTATAATAATAAAAGCTAATGATGTACTTATCAAATTTCAATTGTATGTTTAGTGTCTCTTAGAAGAAAGTTATTTTTCAGGAGAATGGTATTTATGCGGACTCAAGGAAATGCTTCTTTTTTCTATACATATTATAATTTTTTCAAAGAAATTCCTACTTTATGTCACGTACACACACATACTCCCAAATATAAATACTGAAAGGAAGAAGTATTTAAATTTGGAGAAAATACAATTCAGGACCTTTGAGAGCCCTTTGGAAGAGCCTACAAGTCAGCAACCAAAAGATTCAACAGCACGTGGCAGGAGGTTTTTCTTCCCTTTCAGACAGGTGCCAGATGGAATATGGTGTGATTTCTCCCTTCTAGGATCTGGCATGTAATACTGCATAGGGTTTTTTTGGTGTCAATGCACCCCAAATACTTCTAAGGTTCAGCTTCTCCCTTCCCTCAAGCTTCATTTACTCAACAAATATTTGTGGAGTGTTCACTATTCAGACATCGAACTAGTTTCAGGAATATGGCAGTGATTAAGCCAGACCCAGTTCCTCCTCTCACAGAATTCTCACTTTCATTCTAGTGGGGAATATAAACAGGTCAACAGCTATTGCTATATGATATGTTAAAGGCTACGATAAGGAAGTGAGGGAAGACTTTCAAATAATGAAAGAGAAGAAAAGAGATGTAAGAGCCAACACATGGAGAGAAAGCTTGAGGAACTTAACATTCTAACTGACTGGCAAAGCTAGCAGACAGAAAGGGAGAGCACTGAGAGCAGAGAAAGGAGATGAACACAGATATGTAGACGGAGGCCAGATGGCACAGGACCTGGGGAGTTGTGGTAAGGAGTTTACATGTCAAAATTAAGAACAATAAAGTTCCATGGAGGAAAGTGAAATGATTTGGAGGAAGATGACGTCATTTCATCAGAGTCTGTGCTAACTCAAAAGCGAAGACAGCTTTTGTCAGATTCTGTCTCCAAATCCTAGAATCCCAATTGAGAATCTGGGGTATTAACTTCTTTTTTTTTTTTTTTTTTTAAAGATTTTTTTATTTTTTCCTTTTTCTCCCCAAAGCCCCCCAGTACATAGTTGTGTATTCTTCGCTGTGGGTTCTTCTAGTTGTGGCATGTGGGACGCTGTCTCAGCATGGTCTGATGAGCAGTGCCATGTCCGCGCCCAGGATTCGAACCAACGAAACACTGGGCCGCCTGCAGCGGAGCGCGCGAACTTAACCACTCGGCCACGGGGCCAGCCCCTGGGGTATTAACTTCTCCTTGCGCTGTTCTAACTCCAAGTTTTCCCCCTTAGCCCTGCAGAAAACTCTGATGAGATTTTCAGTGGCTTCCTGCTTAGGTTCTCAGTCTTCTGCCTTTATAGAAGCTTAAGAATTCACCAAATGGCTCGAGGGGAAAACTGCCCCCTTCTCACTGAGCCGTTCGTCATTCAGTTCTGGCTGCCATGACAGCCCCAAACTCCCATTTTTGTGTCATCAGCCTCATGACATTGCGAAAAGCTCTGCTGGCCAGCCTTCCTAATAGCTGTATCCTTCTGTCTGGATTCTTAGCCTTTTGTTCCATGCCAGTGGTTAGCAAAAAAATGCTCTGAAGGGAAGAACAGGTCCCAGGATTTTGGCTCACCCTTCAGAGTCTCTTCTCTCTGGGAACCTAATCCCTTGGAATTGATTGTCTTGCCTTGATAGTTTTTGTTTTTTACTCAGCTTTTCTATTTGTTCTCAAAGAGGCGTGGATTAAACTCAAACTACCACATGACAGCCAGAAGTAGAAGTCCTCAAAATTGCAATGTATTTGTTACTGCACAAAGGGCATGACCTGCTCTCCATGAGACAAAAGCTAATCGTCAAGAGGCAAGATGGTGGCAGAGAAAGAGCATTTTATTACAGCTTGCTAGCAAGAGGGAAAATGGCTGACTAATGTCCAAAAGAACCATCTTAAGGGGAGCACAGAATCTTGAAGCAGTTATATAGGCCAGTGAGTTATAGGGGAGGAGGTTAGAAATGTTGACCCTCTGGTGGTACAGACTGGGAGTGGCCACACCAGATCTTTCAGTTTTCATTGATCATGGCTATCAGCATAAACTTTGTTTGGGAGGTCATCACATTCCTAAGGAACTCAAAAGACTGGAGTTATCATCTTATCGCAGCTGGAAGGTATATGCACTAGCAGGGATCGTAAAATCTACAGAGCAGGTGGATCTCCTGGAGCGTGCAAATCCAGCTAGTTAGTTAGTTAGGTTAGTTAGTTAGTGGGTTAGTTAGTTAGAGGTCATTCAAAGTTATGACATGGTCTCTTTTCTACAATATGGCTTCCCTCATGTCAACCTTGTGTTGAGCTGGTTTTATTTCTATCAATGTTAGAGAAACAGTGGTCACATTCCACAAGTATTTCCAGAGGCCACCTTGAAATATAAACATTTAAGAGGCCTAACTTAACAAAGCAATTCTGTTGCTCTTGTTTCTTATGTCTAGAAAAGAAAATTTAGTACTTTCTTTCCCCTTTGATCACCCACTTTATACTGGTGACTAGTTCTTGAAACCATTTAAGCACAAACTTAGCTTAAATCTCTATTGTTTTGTGTAGGAAGACACCGCCTTCAGAAAGTATGATTTTTTTGGAATTGCATTTCTGAGAGAAACTGTTAAAGGTAATCTGCTTTTCCAAAAGCTAATCTGGTCCTCTCTGCTCTTTGGAAATGTTCATTAAATTTTATAACTTAAAAGTCATAACAACCTAAGTAAAAGGATTGAGCTTTCAAGAAATAGGATATAGCTTTCATGGGGGCCAGAAACAGGCCAAGGTGAGCAGATACTTAAACTGGTCTACCCTGAGGGCAAATGCAGATTAGCTCAGAAGGAGACTCCTCTGCAAGTCCAGCAAAGTGGGGGACCTGCATTTGAGCATTCCACATTAAATCTGAGACTTTTAAAGGGGCACTACACTGGTCCTAGGTCAGGAGGACCCCTTGGCTCCCTACAGAATACCTGCAGATAATTTTGGGAGGAAAGATCACCAGTTAAGGCCCATGCAATTTCCATATATCAAATTTAAACAAATTGGAGCTTAAAACCAAGATCACTAAGTGCACAAGGAAACACCATGAGTTAGAGAAAACAGAAAAAAACAACTTTACAGATCACTAAAAGGGTTGAGATATTTAAATGTTAAACATTTAAATATTTCATTTAATTTTAAAATACTTAAATATTTAAAGAAAAACAGGAGGTCATAAAAGTAACAGCAATGAGAGAAAACATAATTACAGAGCAGCTAAATATAACTTTTGCGATGTAATCAAGGAAATATGATAGATTAAATGGCATAAGAGACTTCTGAAGGGAGAATTAGTAAACTAGGAGGCAGAGAATGTGAAGAAATTACCCAGAATGTAACATAGATGAGAAACTGGAAAATGTAAAAGATTTTAAGAGATATAGTAGAAGGAATTAGTCTAATATACATAATCATAGTTTTTATAGAGGATGGGGGACATAGACTATTTGAGAAGAAGAGTAGGGGGAAAAATTCACTCGTAGATGATACCGAACCTCTTAATCTCAAGTTCATGTGCCCGATGCGCAGCAAGCCAAACACTGAGGCATAGGTGCTTGGAGATAGACAAAGGCCCCATTTGAGTTGGCCAAGATGAGAAGATGCGAGCATGGGTTTGCTCAAATCCACCTTAATCAGAGCAAAAAGCAGGGGGTTTTTATGGAGCTAAGGGGCTTGGCAGGAGGAGTTTGGAGAAACAAAGAAGTCACTCCCACTAAGCCCCTGGGCAATCTGCAAGGGCTGCTGGGGCTTGGCCATCTGCTGATAGCAACCTCCCCAATGGCATTCTCTCTCTTCTGCAAAACAAACTCACAAATCCTCAAGACCTGAGTCAACCCTCAAGTTAAACAAGAAGACAGCAAATTGACAAGATTCATCTACTCTGTATTACAAACAAGGTCAAAAGGCAACCATGTTCTTATTGGATATCTACCGTAATCCTCAGGTACCCAGCTTCATAGACACAAAATAGTGAAACTACGCAACACCAAAGACAAAAAAGAAGTCTTAGTGTCAACCAGAGAAGTCACATTACCTTTACAGGAAACACAGTCAGTCGGAGAGCAGAATTGTCAGAAATAAAGGCTGTCAGAACACAGTAGAATATTTTCTTCAAAGTTCTGAGAGAATGTAATAGTCAAACTAAAATTGAGTGCCTGGCAAATCTATCTCCTAAGAATAGGAGTGAACTGAAGACATTTTCAGATAAGTCAAAACTATACCATCTGGAAAGTCTTAAAGGAATTTGTGATGGATGTGTTCTAGAAAGAAGAAAAGTAATATCAGAGAAAAGTCTGAGATCTAATAAAAAAGGTGAACAAATAAATTTGAAAATCCAAATAAACTTTATGTGCATAAATAATAGTATTTACAGATTTGTGGGTATTTTTTTTAAGATTTGTTTAAGGACAGAATTAAAACATCAGACAATAATAATATGTAACTCAAGGGATGCAATATGAATTTCAGCGTTCTACATTCTTGTGTAGCTCAGAAAAGGGATTCAGATGAAGAAACTGAGGCACAGAAATGTTAAGTAACACACCCAAGGTTGCACAATTAGTCCTGAATCCTTACTTTTGTCTTTATGACGTCAGACCAGAAAAAAATAAGAGAACAACAAATTGAGATAATTTAAGATTAG